TTTGTTTACCTATTTCTCCGGGAAGAAAGCCCAAACTGTTGTTGCTCAGGCTCAGGTAAGTCAGTGTGCTGAGTTCACCTATTCCAGTCGGAAGCAGAGTCAGGCTGTTACAGTCCAAAGTCAGTTCTTCAAGTTGCTGCAAAGCCAAGAGTTCGGTGGGCGGCATAAGAAGTTTGTTGTTGTTGAGAAGGAGTCGTCTGACATGTGTCACCTGACGTACCGTTGGTGGCAGGACGCTGATATCTCGGTGACTTAAGTTCAGAACAGCTTCCTGCTTCTGGAGACACCGTTCGATCACATTGTCTATTTCTGGAGTTCCCATTCTGCTCCAAAGTGTACGAGGTCACCAAGGAGGTATGGCTTCGTCTAGAATATGGTAGGACGGCCACGAAAGACGGCCACGCCGCTATTGGTCAATTTCTCAGCAAGCTCCACGCTGCTATTGGTCGGGGTATCAGCTGCTGCAGTGAGGGGTAGCTAGCGGTGGGGAGGGCTGCCGGCGTTTATCCACAACTTTTAGGGGACAACAAAACGTCAACCTTTACGACTATAATCACTCCACTTCGGTGGATAAGCCACAAACAGTCATTTGTGCGGCTCTTAGCTCTGGAAACCTTACAGGTAATGACTGCGTGAGGGAGTTGGGTCTAGATTACGTTACCAGTAAAACGCCGTACGCGTACGCGTATACGGGAAATACTTTCCATGGGCCTTTCATAATGTAGGGACCAGGTAAGCACCGTACAGGTGATATTTGCGTGGCCCTTTCATCTGGAGACCAGGTAAGGAACCTTACAGGTAATATTTGCGTGGCCCTTTCATCTAGGGAGCAGGTAAGGCACCGTACAGGTGATATTGGTGTGGCCCTTTCATCTGGGAACCAGGTAAGGCAGCATACAGGTGATATTTGCTTGGCCCTTTTATCTGGGAATCAGGTAAGGCACCGTACAGGTGATATTGGCGTGGCCCTTTCATCTGGGGAGCAGGTAAGGCACCGTACGGGTAATATTTGTGTGGCCCTTTCATCTGGGGACCAGGTAAGGCACCGTACAGGTAATATTTGCGTGGCCCTTTCATCTGGGAACCAGGTAAGGCACCGTACAGGTAATATTTGTGTGGTCGTTTCATCTGTGGACCAGGTAAGGCACCGTACAGGTGATATTGGTGTGGCCCTTTCATCTGGGAACCAGGTAAGGCACCGTACAGGTAATATTTGTGTGGCCCTTTCATCTGGGGACCAGGTAAGGCACCGTACAGGTGATATTTGCGTGGCCCTTTCATCTGGGAGCAGGTAAGGCACCGTACAGGTAATATTTGCGTGGCCCTTTCATCTGGGGACCAGGTAAGGCACTGTACAGGTGATATTGGCATGGCCCTTTCATCTGGGGACCAGGTTAGGAACCATACAGGTAATATTTGCATGACCCTTTTATTTGTGGACCAGGTAAGGCACTGTACAGGTGATAATTCCGTGGCCCTTTTATTTGTGGACCAGGTAAGGCACCCTACAGGTTATATTGGCGTGGCCCTTTTATCTGGGAACCATGTTAGGCACCGTACAGGTAATATTTGTGTAGCCTTTTCATCTGGTGACCAGGTAAGGCACCTATAGGTAAACTTTGCATGGCCCTTTCCTCTTTGTACTAGGTATGTCACCGTACAGGTAATATCTGAATGGCCCTATTATCTGGAGACAAAGTAAGGTACCATATACTAGTAGGTAATGTTTGTATGGTTTATAGGTTTTGGGGCCCAGTAAGACCATACAATTTATATTTGTTGTTTGTTCTTTTTGTATTTTTTTCGTCTAATGACATTTTTATATACTAGTGTTTAGATTGCTAGTGTCTAGAATATTTCTTTTTTTTTTCTAGGGTCATTTGCCAGAAAGGAGAAACTGATTGCACAGCAGGAAATGGAGATGTCAATGCATTAAATTCTGGAATTGTTGGAAGTGCCAGCTTTAGTTCATAACAACAACATGAATACTGAACCCTGACTTATGTTATCACATTCTTTCTCTGAAGTAGAATAACTAGAGGTGGATTGTAGTGTTGAACTGTAGAACTATTCTGTGTTCGCTTATTTATTTGTTTTCTATTTTTCCGAGTTGCATGTTTGAGAATATTTTCTAAAACTGTTTCAAGCATAACATATAGTAACTAGATTCATTACCTATAGTACTTGTAGATATTACCAGTTTATTTTCTGATACATGTATATTATTTTCAACACCATTCAATTATTATTAAAGCTGAAATACACGTTTTCACTCTTGTTTCCATAGACTTTCATTTCCAGTGTAGTTCAAGTCAGTATATGATTCAAGAATAGCAAGTGTACAGCATTAAAATCATGTATCCCAACATAATACTTGAACGCACTAATGTCGCCAAGAAGCAAGCAATTGATAGAAGTTATTACTGTGTAAATGGTGTAAAGGACAGTAGAATCAAAGGTATTATAGGGATTAGGAATTCGCATTATTGAAAAGGACAGCCTTAAACCCTTTTCAAAGGCTGCACTCAAATCTTTCTTGAGGAACGTAAACCTTTGTTTTCAATTATTTGGAGAACTCTATGCTTTAATGACTCAAATTTCAACAGAATATAACTCAATGGCCAATTACGGCATCAGACGGAATTCATACAGCCACTTTCTAAGCTCCCATGAACATACCAGCCGAATTTGAAACCAATCCGTTCAGTTTTACTTTTAGTTTTACTTTTAAGTTTTCAGCTCGCGCTTTCAAAGGCTATGTTGCGCATAGAAAAATCTAGATCGATCATTGCCGCATCATATGAAATTGCATTTTCCTTTCTAGACCGAGAAGGAAATAATATTTTGGGATGAAACTTCGACATTAGTATCCTGAAATACCGATATATCTGCGTTGTTAGCAGATCTGCTCTTTTTCCATTCCTTTTGGTAGATACAGGTCAGTCATTTGGCTTCATTTTTTGGTCGTGTCCCAATACCCAACTGAAATGTGCGGTATTTCAATAATAAGGTAGAGTTAGGGATCTACATTATGAAATAGACATAATATTCTACATAGGTCTGGTTAGGACCTTTCAGTGGTATCACCACTTCCTTTTTCATGGGCTGCACCTAGTCTTTTTGGAGGAATGTCAACTTATATTTTGAAAAGTTGTGAGAGAGCAAAGAATGTCCTTGGAGAGATGTGTGCTTTCGTGAAGAAATTTCAATTGAAAATAACTCAATGACTAATTATAACATCAGCATGGGAATTCATACAGTAACTTTGTAAGCTTCAATGAACATACCAGCCGAATTTGAAAGAAATCCTCCCAGTTTTAGACGAGATATGGAAACCGACACGATTCCAGCTCGCGCGAAGCGAGGTCGCCTTCAAACCGTTCTGTTTCGCATAGACAATTCTAGGTCGATTTTGACCGCATCACGCAAAATTGCGTTTACCTTCATAGACCGAGAATGAAATGATATTTTGCGCTGAAACTTGGACATTAGTATCCTGAAATACCGATATATCTGCGTTGTTAGCAGATCTGCTCTTTTTCCATTCCTTTTGGTAGATACAGGTCAGTCATTTGGCTTCATTTTTTGGTCGTGTCCCAATACCCAACTGAAATGTGCGGTATTTCAATAATAAGGTAGAGTTAGGGATCTACATTATGAAATAGACATAATATTCTACATAGGTCTGGTTAGGACCTTTCAGTGGTATCACCACTTCCTTTTTCATGGGCTGCACCTAGTCTTTTTGGAGGAATGTCAACTTATATTTTGAAAAGTTGTGAGAGAGCAAAGAATGTCCTTGGAGAGATGTGTGCTTTCGTGAAGAAATTTCAATTGAAAATAACTCAATGACTAATTATGACATCAGCATGGGAATTCATACAGTAACTTTGTAAGCTTCAATGAACATACCAGCCGAATTTGAAAGAAATCCACCCAGTTTTAGACGAGATATGGAAACCGACACGATTCCAGCTCGCGCGAAGCGAGGTCGCCTTCAAACCGTTCTGTTTCGCATAGACAATTCTAGGTCGATTTTGACCGCATCACGCAAAATTGCGTTTACCTTCATAGACCGAGAATGAAATGATATTTTGCGCTGAAACTTGGACATTAGTATCCTGAAATACTGGTCTATCTCTGCTGTAAACAGATTTACTCTTTTGTGAATTTTCGTAAAGCTACAAGCAATTCAGTTGGCTTCATTTTTCGGCCATGCCCCAAAATCCCACTGAAATGTGCGGTATTGCAATAATAAGGTAGATTTAGGGATTTACATTATGAAATAGACATAATCTTTTATATACGTCTGTTCAGGACCTTTCCGTGGTATCACCACTTCCTTTTTCATTGGTTGCACCTCCTCGTTTCGGAGGAATGTCAACTTATATTTTGAAACGTTGTGCGAGATGTATGCTTTCAGGAAGAAATTTCAATTGAAAATAACTCGATGACTGATTATGACA